AGCAGCAAGCGGCAGTGGTCCGGCAGGCGCAGGTGATGTTGGTGGCAAGAATTGAGGAGGAGAAGGCACAGTTGGCTCGGACCCCCAACACCAGCGACGGTTGTGTTGTTGGTGTTCCATACAAGGAGGGAGGGTGGTACCTAGAGCAGTGCTGGGGTGGGCGCTCCGTTCCTGGGCATGCTGGCCGGAGGGCAATGGCGTTTGAGGAGGAAGGAGAGGGGTCAGCGCAGGCGGCGGCAGGGATGACGGTCTTGCAGCGTCTGGCTGAAGAGGAGAGGAAGCGAGATGGACCGGAGAAGGTGAAGGGGATTGCGGAGGTGGTCCCGGAGGAGTTCCACGACTTTTTGGACGTTTTCAGCAAGTCCCATTTGGAACGGTTGCCGCAGCATACCAAGTATAACTTACCCATTGACCTGGAACCTGGGGCCCCTCTGCCTAAAGTCGGCAAGCTGTACCAGTTATCACTGGAGGAGCTCACAGCACTGAAGGAGTTTATCGACGAGAACCTGGCAAAGGGGTACATCCGGCCTTCAAATGCGCCATGCGGCGCTCCAGTCTTCTTTGTCAAGAAGAAGAATGGTGACCTACATCTTGTCGTTGACTTTTGGGCGCTGAACGCCATCACTTGGTCCGACTCCTACCCCATCCCTCTCTCAAACGAACTACTTGATCGGCTCAAAGCGGCAAAGGTGCTCACCACACTGGATATGCGTTGGGGCTACTACAATGTCCGCATCCGTGGCGGCGACAAGTGGAAAATGTCATTCCGTATGTGCTATGGGCAGTTTGAGTTCCTCGTCATGCAGTTTGGGCTCAAGAACGCGCCGGCAGCCTTCCAGTGTATGGTCAACGAGCTGTTTCATGATTTGTTTGATATCTCAGTGGTCCTGTACTTGAAGTCCCAGCTCACCTTTGGGAGCACATTGGCGTCAACCTCATCACCCAGCTACCCCCTTCTAATGGTTATGATGTGGTTATGGTTTGCGTGGATTTGTACAGCAAGATGATCCATGCAATTCCCTGCAAGACCTCCATTGACGCAGAAGGACTCGCCAACCTTTACTACAAGGAAATATTCCCACTCCACGGACTTCCCCTACGCTTCATCTCCGATTGAGGACCCCAGTTTGCCGCTGCGCTCACCCAGGCACTACTCAAACGACTTGGTATCCGTTCCAACATGACATCTGGCTATCACCCCCAGGCAAACGGTCAGACAGAACGCGCTAACCAAGAGGTGAAGAAGTACCTTTGTCTCTATGTGGATCAACGTCAGACGGATTGGGCGGATCACCTTCCCCTGGAAGAATTTGTCATCAACTCTTGCATCGCATTGGTTCACGGAATGACTCTGTTTGAGGTGGTTTACAGTTACCAGCCTCACTTCAACATCCCCATTGGCACCAGGACTGGAATAGCGGACGTGGATAAGCGGGTAAAGATCATGGAGGAGGTGCGGAGAGATGTGACAGCTGGGTTGGAAGAGACAAAGCGGAAGCAGAAGGAGGTTTTTAAGAGGGGGAAGAAGGCGGCGCATGTGTTCAAGGTGGGGGACAGTGTGTACCTGGACAGCAGGGACGTAAAACTCCTTGTTCCAACCCGCAAGATTGTGGAAACCTTCTTGGGACCGTTCCCCATTCTGGAGAATATTGGCGACCTTGACTACAAACTTGACCTCTCAGACCAGCTGAACCAACTTCATCCCGTTTTCCACATTGACAAACTCTTCCCTTGGAGGGGTAACGAGGTCAACAGTGAGACGCCACCACTGCCAGCGCCGGTAGAGCTGGATGAGGAGGATACCACAGGCGAGCCGGAGTGGAAGGTAGAGGAGATCTTGGATAGCAGGTGTTCCGAGGGAAGCTGCAGTTCTGGTTGAAGTGGAAGGGATATGGGGCAGAGGCACAGGGATGGCAGCCGGTAACAAACATAGAGGCTCCAAAGCTGGTGGAGGTATTTTACAAGAGATATCCAAACACGGTCCGTCAACCTCCCCCAGTTCTAAAGAAGAAGAGGACGCGTAGGAAGACAAAGTCTCAGGGTTCATTGGGGACAATGAGTTTAGGAGGGGGGTAATTGTCATGAAGTGGTACGAGGACTTAGTCTCTTTTCCTTTTGTCTGTTTATCTCTCTGTTTATCTTTGATTGCATCACGGACTGTTCATCTTTCTATCATGTTCTTGATCCGGTTTCTGCTCAGGTGATTGTTCATCATGTACAAGGTTCCAGAACCTTTTGGCTATGTCTTGGGCTGCGCTTCCTTGTTCATCATCGCTTGGCGCACTGCCTTGCTCTTCTAGTATATAAGTATTGCCTTTATTACCTGGTCCCCACCTTGACCTCTTTATTGTTGGGACCAGGTGCGTATCTAGTTATCCTGTCTTTGTTACTGTGGTTATTTATTCTTTATTGTCGGGACCAGATTGTCTCTTGCTACGCTCGCGACACGGCCACTCAATGATCTCACAAGGAAGAATGTACCATGGATGTGGGGAGAAGATCAGCAGAAGGCCTTTCAGGTGCTCAAGGATGCATTCATTTTTGCGCCCATTCTGTGTACCTGGTTGCCGGATCTCCCTACCAAGATCAAGGTGGACGCATCAGGCTATGCAACTGGAGGGGTCATCCTCTCGAATAAAGCTGACTGACTTTGGCACCCCATTGTGCTCTGATCATTGTTGATGATCCTTGTGGAATGCAACTACCAGATCTACAACTGGGAGATGCTTGCAATTATTGAGGCACTGAAGTTCCATAATTCTACCTAGCTTCCATGTACCTCCCACTAAACCCCAAGCACTGTCCCACCAAATCCCACTCACCGCCTTCACAAACCAACCCATCCCCCATTTAACACGCCTGTGATGAAGTGCCCAGGTTCACCACTTTCGAGCTAAGTCTTGCACGGTCTCGCTTCGGGGTTCGTTCAGCTTTATTCCCTTTTGTTCATCTCATTTCTCGAATCCCTTCATCGTTCGCCGTTCTCGATACACGGTTTCCAATGTCTCGATCTCCCGAATCTATTCCCTATCCAGTTTGCACCATTCCTTTCTCGCGAGACGCGCGTGCGACGCGCCCGCGCCTCTTTTTGATCCTATCACTATTTCCACGTTTGGATGCTCGTATGTTCGTTCTCCCGCTGGTACCTGAGCATACTTACGCGAGGCGATATCTCGCCATTGATTGCTCAGTACTGTACAGTAGATCATCGGCTAGCTGTACGCTGCCGAGTACATAGTAGAGATGCAGAGCGTGCATGCCTTTCCTATCTTGACCTCTTGGTCTTTGGGATAGGTATGCAGCGCTCTGCCTAGTTATCTTCTGTACTGTCAATCTAACTTGGTCTTTGGGATAGTCCGTGTGCAGTGGGATCTATTCTTGCACCCGATCTCCAGATCGTCCATACCCATCTCTTAGATCTGTAGAGCCCTAGCTCCAGGTCGACTCAGTGCTCCCCCCTTCCAGTTGTCGCTATCCATCACAACGCCTTTACAAATGCATCAAACAGTGCAGGAATGACAAATGACTCCTTACACCCCCTCCTCATATTGCCCAATGTCTGCTCTGCGTTGATGCACCGAGACTTGGCCACTTGTGTTTGGGCATCACCTTCAATCTGTCTTGCCTCTGCATTGACCTGTTTAGCCTCCACCTCCTTCCGCCTGGCCACCTCCTCTCTTCACCTAGCCTTGATAGTAGCCACAAAAGAGTTGGTCTTGCAAGCGCTTGCCTCAGCTGCATCAGCTTGCTTCTTCTCTGCGCTAACCTGCACCTCCGCCTTTCAAATCCGCACCTCCAACCCACAAATTTGTGCTTCTGCCTCTGCATGAACACACTCTGCTTTGGCCCTCTTCACCCTCTTCTCTTGTACAAACTTTTGATACATGCAAGTCCGGAGCACATCCAAATTATGCGTGTGTTTGTTTCCTGGTGTATGAGGGTGCACAATGTCTCGTTGCTTACTAGCTACCAGGCTAGTAATGTGTGTAGGATTCTCAGACCGTGTAAGGTCACCTTAACAACTGCTTGTTTGACCACTTTGGAACTCAACACTGATTCTATGCAGTATGTGGGTTTAGCTGGGTATGTATAGTTCCCTAAAGGTAGGTACATAGCCTCTGGCTAGGCGGAAATGAGTGCTCAATCCGTGTTAGGATGAGCGCGCAAATTCCAGGCTCAATATTGGCTTAGTGGGCTCCTCCCTAATTCTTGTCACAAACAGGTTATGCAGAGGCTTTCCACGCCAGGGTAGGTTACTTCCACGTATTCCAGCTGGGAGTACTTATTCATAGTATCAGACTTTGCAACCCAGAATCCCTGCACGTTGCCCGGCGCAGGGAATGCCACATGGGTACGCTTTAGCAATGGAAGATGTAGGGTGATGAGGTATTGTCTGAGCATTTTGAGGCAAAGACTGAGCATAGGGGACATTATTCTGGTGAGCTTAGAGCCAGAATATTGTATGTATACTGCGAGCTTGTCCCTGGTGGAGGTGGACGAGGGGAACTCTGAGCACATGGTGGCATGGAGGAGAGCGGTGAAGGTTCAATTTGTGGATGTTTGATTGAAATTGAAGCCAATGAATAATATCCGCAGAGTGTTTACTTTGTGCAAGCATCAATGGGGTAGTGGTAACCTGGGTCGTTGCCATTTGATACCTTCTGTTTCGACCCGCCGGGGGTTCGATTCCCTCTTGATGCACTTCATGCGCGAGTCCCTCGTATGGTTGTTTTTGCAGCTCGAGTAAGTTTTCTGCTGGGCCGCTACTAGCTAGTAGTAGTGGCTACATTTTACGTACACTAGACTTCGCAGAATCGTAATACAGCCTTGCTTACTTCCTAGAGTCCGACACTACTGCTAGCAGCAGCTGTATACACACTACGTTGTAACCCCCAGCTTGTCGACGAGCTCGTCAACTGTGGTCTAACCATGGACCTATGGCTGATCAAAACGTTCTTTGCCCGCCCGACGCCAGTCACTTTTGATTATGACAAGGAAGCGTTAGCCCCTACGGGGAGAGTTGCGTCCCAATTGTTTCAAGGATCGATGAAAGAACGCACGCACGCATATCTTTCCTTCTTTTCTTCCCAATCTTTTGCAGGTGTTCAGCCAGACGACGGTAGACCGTCCTCGAATACGTCAGTCCTCGTCACCACACACACAATATACGAATAACGACGCTCGCACATCCGTCATATCAAGCGAGGATGTCATTCCGAGAAAACTCGTCAAGATGTGTGTGTGTATAGCAGTATCATCAGTCGTAAGGAGGAGGTCCAAATGGAGGGAGTCAAGATTCATTTCATTATGCTATCAGCGAAGGGAGAACGAGCTCAAAGGTCGATTGTGTACGTAGGGTTTGAATGAAGAAGAACGGTGTAGGTTTGATATAGGTTCGAATGAAAAGGAACGAAATCTGAAAGAAAAGAAGCGCAGAGAGAAGAAAGAACGTTTATGAGATGAACGTCGACTCGTTGTACAAGGTTCCTTTGACCTGGCGCGCGTTCTCGCCCGTGGTCACTTTAAGAGTTGCTGGGTTGATAGTCTGGAAGATAGAGCAATTAGTAAGAGTGAACCGTCGAGACGAGAGCATACAATGAATGCGAGAAAGGGTACGAGCGTGTAGAAGGGCAGATAAACGGGGAAGGAACCTGACAGAGAGAACGAGAACAGGATACAGAGAACGAGAACAGAAGCGCACCTGGTAGATATACGGCTTCGTCCCCGCCACATAATTCACCGCCATCTTCAACACGCTCGGAATCTCCGCCAACACATCCACCTTCTCCATCAACCCCTTCACATTCTTCGCGTCTTTCCCGAAGTCCACCCCCAGCTCCGCCGACACCTTCTCCCCCCCAGCGATGGCGGGCCCGGACCAGTTATATCGGATCGAAGAAGGGACGTTGTACCCCGTCTCCGAGTCGGGAACTGGTTCGAGATGCTCGACGCCGCACGTTACGCCGCCTGGGGCAGTAGCTGCCGCAAGCTTCGCAGCGCCAGGGAGTCTAGTCTCTCCCACCACAGTCGCGAGATGTCCATCGACCACCACCGCGCCCACCGAAACACTAACACCTCCCGACCCAGCGCCCTTCATCCCATACGCCTCAATCGTCTTAAACTCCATCTGAACCGCCACGTTCCCCGCTCCCGTCTCCTCTCCCGAAGGCTGATCAACGAACCACCCAAAGTTCCACGACGCAGCGATAAGGTTCGGTCGCATCCCCTGGATCGCATGGATAAACACGCCTTTGCCGTTAACCATCTCCGCCTGTCCGTTCCTCACAATATGCCCCTCAAAGTGAGTCAAAGGCCAGAATCGATGGATGACGTTCCCATCGGGCTTGTCGATCGAAGAACCAAAGTACGAATGACCTCCCTGCGGGCCCGAGCCGACTTTGAAGCCTGGGCAGGTAGATGGGCGAGCGACGGTGACGGAGACTTGGAGGTCGGTGCCGAGGTTGCAGCGGATGGTGTATGATTCGGAGTAGGTGTATGATGCGTTTGCCGGGGGTTTGATGGCGGAGGATGGGGAGGAGGAGTGGGTGATGGAGAATTCGTCGGCTTTGGAGGAACGTTTGTCGGTTGTGCCTGGGGGGGCGGGGGTGAAGTTGGAGACATTGACAGATTTCCAGACGCGTTCGCCGGTCTTGGGGTCGTAGATCTTGCAGGTGAATTGGATGGTGGGGTACCAGACGCTGTGGGGTGATTTGGATCAGCGGTGGATAACGAGGTGGGAGTGAGGACAAGTAAAAGCGTTGTCGAACATGGAATTTCGCGGTCTTTACGCGAAGACTACCCAGATTTTGCATGCAAGATGGATTGAAGGTAGAAAGGAGAGGAAACTCACCCAATGGACGAATGAATCACCTGGCACCAGAAGAACTTGCCATCGTCCATGATTTGGTAGAAGATTTGCGTCTCGGTGACGAATCCTCCAGCACACAACCACTCCGTGTCCTTTGGCTCAAGCTCGCCATAGAGCAGCTCAGGGTGCTTCTCGACATCGTATCTCGCGGTAACGGGGTGGAAGGTCGGCGCAGTGGGATCAGCAGGTGCAGATGAGCTGTTTCAAGATGATATTGTCAGGATTGCTTTCATGAAGGTAGCATGAAGAGAATAACTGACCCCCAGATAGAAGAGAACATGGTGGTAAGAGGAGAAGAGGAGGGGTTAGTGGCCGCGTGCCAAAACGGCTGGTCTGTGTGTGTCAAGCAGCGTTACGTCAGATTGGCTACTTTGCCCGGATCATGACCTAATCAACCGGATCAAGATCGCCACTCACTCCGTTTCCCAAAAACTCCGTCCATGACACATTCCTCCTCCCAGCCTCCTCCCTCGAGCTCGTCGTTGTAGCAAACAAGGTAAGCCTGAGCTTGGGGTTTTATCAGATTCAAGCTGAATAAATACTCAAGATTAATAGCGTAGCAATATAAATGATACTATTATTGGAGGTACAAGTGTGTGTGTAGCGCAGAGTACAATAGTACAAGCAGCGTACAGGTAGATAGCCTGTCAGACTCAACACCAATAATAACCTTGAGGGACAGAACTTAGGAGCAATACTAAGTGATGGAGGGCAAGATGGAGCAAAAGGAACTATCATAAGAGCGAGCAAAGCAAGCCTTATATACTAGATACATAAGGGAGTCATATAACCGTGTGTAGGAGGTGCTCAGTCCGCATCTGGGAGTCATGAGACGCTGTTATGCTAAGATACAGCGATGGTATGATGAGAGTGATGAGAATCACCTGTAAAGTACCTGTGATGGAGGAGATCTAATCTACTACTCTACAAGCAGGTAGGTATGCTTTTGACAACTATTTTAAAAACAAAACTTTTTTTTTAAATAGGCGTTAGCGTCGTCACGCACGTCCCTCCTGAGCTACTTGCAGAGATCATCAAGTACTGTTCCCCCTTGTCACAACCACCGGGATGATGCTCATCAGCGTCAACTCTATCCTCTTCAAATGTGTGTAAGGAAGGTAAGGGGTATAATCATTGAGGATCATGGTACAGTATAGTTTCTTACATAAAAGTCAAACAAATTGGTGAATGACCATCTTCATTCTCCCCGCAGTCCTGCAAGGTCGGGGTCCCAAGTTTGACCAGGGCTTACCAAAAGCGCTCAAGTCTATAGCTAACGTGCTAGAGGTTGCTGACATGCGAGTGGTTGAGCAGTCAGAATATTGAGATAGCCGGTGAGCGGGGAAAGGGCCCCAGTAGCTCAACCAGCTCAAGAGCGGCAAAGGGTCAAGAAAAAAGAGCTTGAGGGGGCGAGAGCTTGGGGGAGCGGATGCTGGAGGATGTGCGCAGGGAGGCAAAGGCCCCGTTCGCCGTGCCGATGTTGCTGGACGCATACTTAGAGATCTGCAAGATGACTGCGCAGTTCTTGGGATGCGAATGAATGCATTTTAGAAAGAGGGAACGGAGAGCTGGTGGACCGTGGTGGTGGTGGTGAAGGTGGTGGTGAAGGTGGTGGTGATGGCGGTGGTGATGATACCATTCTCGTCGTATAATTTGTCGTTAACTTCTTGGGCTACTTCAGCGGCCTTGGAGAGTAGAGAGTGGAATGTATAGTATTGTTCCCAAATAAGCTGTCGGTCGAAGTAGAACGGCATAGCGAATATGGTGCATGGACTGCAGCGAATCGACGTTGAGGTCAGATCGAGGTCAGATTAACTCATCAGATCGAACAGTGATCACAAATTGACGATTCATCTCAACGTCGACCACCACAGCGGTCTCAGCGCTCAGCGTCGACAACGACAACGGCGAGCGCTCTTCACAGCCTACTCTCCTGTGACACATTCCCCTTCCTCTCCCTTCCTGGATACACTTCTATCACTCTACTCGGCGCTCTCTACTAGTCCCAGAACCGTCTCAACTCTTAGCTATGGCACACCCTAACGTCAAGCTCGTCGTATACCTGCAGTACTTTGGCGATAAGATCCTCGACAAACCCAACGCGCTCAGCATCGTACGGCGAGACCTTGTTACTCTAGGCATTCCCCACCCCAAGGGAACGAACGTGGAGTTCCCGGCACGCAACGCGGTGCAGGGGTACTGGCTCTCTCATACAGGCGGCGTGAGTTTGCTCATTATATCTCGGAAAAACGGGATTGACGGGAAGACTGTGCGTTCAAGATCCTGCATAAGAACTTGATGGTAAGGATAAGGGAGAATCAGCCGGATAGGGCGGCGTTGGATGAGATGTCATTGTGCGTCTCATGTTCGTCTCGTCTCGTCCAGAAAGGTTCCTCCGAGTACTGAGCGCAGCTGACCAGGTCGTCGCTCACCCTTTACGAAATCTTGTGCGTTTGCTTTCTTCATAAGACGGCGTGTAACTAATCATGGCGAAGCGACGACCTCTCGGATGAACAACCCATCGTCACACCGCCCTCGGACAGCATCACCTTCCCACCTCCTCGTCCCTCCACGTCACCCCACAAGCGTCACCATCACCATCATCATCACGAGTCATCCTCCTACACCCCTCAATGGCAACACAAGTCCGCCTCTCGCCAGCCCTATTCTTCTTCTAGCCCGGTCGCTCGAAAGCGCCGTCTGTCTGATGCGTTCTCCCAGCACGAGTTCGACTCTGGGTCATACCGCAGCGGCAACGGCTTCGGGAATCGGGGCAGTCCATCCAACAGACACCCGCGCGTCAAGATCGAAGAAGACTGCTCCTCCACATCTT